GCCCTATTTTATGTATGAAGAAATCGAGGATCAGAAGGGTGAGGTAGCCCATCTAGGGTCAGATGGCCAGAAAGTTAATGGTAGAATCAGGCCTTCAACCTAGCTGTGTGGGTCACAAAAGCAAGTCACAGTGTCTGGGGGGATGTGGTGGTTAACTTGGGACAGTCCTTCCAGCCACCCTCTTCCCCAGGGTTTCCAGGCACCTACTGTGGGCCTAGCCGTGTGCCAGAATAGGGAAATCCCCGAGTGGGCCCGGGTGTCTACAGAGCCTGCTTCCTAGGCGACCAGGACAGGCCTGTCCCTCATCTGGGTCCCTGTTTTCTGTGTGTGAAGTAGGTTGAACAAAATTATGTCTCAGGATACACTGACATTTAGCAGTTCTGGGTTCCACAACCCCTGTCCTAAAGGAGTTTATAGACTTGTGGGGGAGGCAGGGTTTTACATGCCCTTAACATTATCAGTGCGGTAGTACAGAGTATGACAGTCTTGATTTTGTGGGGATGTTGTAGAAATTTAGAAATAAAATATGTCAAGTATTTGGCTGTGCCTAGTGAGCATAAAGTATACCCGGAAGGGCAGCTGGTCATAGGGACTTCTGGGAGCTGAGGTGAGGGAACTCAGGAAGGGCAGGAAGGTTCTGGAAGGAGATGCACTTCTACCATGCTCTGGGGACCTGGAGGAGTTTGGGAGGTGTTAGGCTACCCTCATTGGACAGGCAAGGATGTGTGGAGCATAGCAGCAAAGCATTGTGGGAGTACAAGGTAACGCCCAGGGGAAGGGCTGAGCCCCGGCAGTGAGGGCCCCCCACCCAGGCTGAAGGCACTCCATTTATTGAGGGTCTGTCGGGGCCAGCCCTGTGTTCAGGGTCTGACAGTAGTTTCCACCTCTTCAACTCCACCCTCTAAAAATTCTCCCCGTGCTGTGGAGGCAGGAAGTATGATAGTTTCGGATTTTGAATTTCTGCCTTTTGAATAACTACAAAACCCTGTCTCTAAATTCTGCACTAGCTCAGGTGTTGGCCAGTTGCAATCCCAGAATCAATGAGCTGTTTTTGTCGATAAGATTTTATTGAAACACAGCCCCATTCCTCTGTTTATGTCCTGTGTGTGACTGCTTTTCACTGTTGTGTCGTTGGGGCAGAGACTCTGTGGCTGCAAAACCTACAGTATTTACTGTCTTGCCCTTTACAGAAAGAAGTTGGCTAGATTAAAAATGTCTGCTAGACTAGAGAGTGGAGTCTGAAGATTCAGTGTGATTCTGAGCCCTACACTTGCTGCGTGAGCTTAGGAGAATTGCTTGTCCCCTCTGAGCCTGCCCAGCCAACTCTCGGGGGTTGTAGTGAAGCTCATAGGTGTTGGCTGCAAGACGTTTTGTGGACTGCAAAATGACTGCAAACTTGTCACCAGCCTGGCACTGGGAGGGCACTAAAGATCTGCTTGTGGGCAAATGAATAGTCACCATGCAGGCCTTCCTAGACCTGGCTGCTGGCCACTCCAGGGACGGCAGGGGGATGGCATCTGGACCCGAGATGCTGAATGCATCATTGTTCTTCTTGTGCAGACTTGGCGGGTTTGAGCATAAATTAAAATTCTTGTGGGGAGTCACCTTATATATGGTACCACTTTATAGCCAAGTCATTACGGTAATTTGCAAAACTCTGGTGTGTAACTGGAGTCATTTGCTTCACATTTGCTGGCTGTGACCTCATTCAGGCCGCCTGGTCTTGGATTTGGTGACCCCTGAGCCTTGGGGACTTGGTCTTCTGAGTCTGGACTTTCTGGGGATAGAAGGCAGGGTCTACCTCTCACAAGAATAAATAGGAGAAATCATTCTGGTTACCATCCTCCTGCCTTTTCAAGTGCTTACTGTGAGCTGGGCACCATGCCAAAGGTGTTGTGTTCATAATCTCATGGGATTGTCCTCACAACCTGTGAGTAGTTATTAGCACCATTTGATAGATGAGAAAACAGAGACTTCAAGAGGAAAGTAAACCATACTCTTATCTAGTCCCGGGGAGGCCAGTCGCGTTCCACCAGTGGTTTGCTGTGCAACCAAGGCAGGTCCTTTCCTTCTTTGAGCCTCAGTTTCTTCATCTAGTAATTAAATGGATGGGCAGTCAATCCCAGGCCTGAATTGCTCACTAACTCATAAAAATGAACATAGGGCTCCCCCACCCTCCAGTTCTGCAAAGAAGCATCACTTACATGAAAGCCAGGTCCAGGATCTGCTCTTGGATCCGGTGGTACAGCGGGGAGATATGGCTGCTGGGGGTAGCCCCTTCCTGGGGCACCCCCAGCCTGCCTCAGGGCCAACGTGCCCCTCTCATTCCTCTGCCTCTGTAGAGAAACACTCCATCCTCACTCCCCAGAGACAGAGAGTGAGCAGGGGTGGGTCCTGTGATGCTTTTGGAGTCAGAGAAGCAAGATGCCAGTAGGCACGAGTGCAGTGGCAGGTCTTCTGGCTGACTTGGGCCTGTGGTGGGGAGTGGTGACAGTGCCTACATCTTTCTAGTGGTGGCAGCATCTCTGGGGTACATGTTATAGCCTCTGGTTTTATATATAGCCTTTGAGAAAGCAGATGGCCTAGGGAAGCCTCTAGCACGGGCTTTGGGAGCAATTGCCGGGCAACCTGGTATGGTCACTTGCCAACTCTGATGCTCACGTCCCTCTGCAAGTTAGGGAAGCTTATGGATTTATCTGGGGCACTGTGAAGGTCACACAAGACAAGGGCCTGAATGCGCTTGGAGCCCCAAAGCAGCATCAAACTGTGATCTGCTCCGTCTTTCCTCCCTCCAAGAGGTGGCTTGTTTATTTGCTGTAGAAAGACTTCTTACAATATTTAGTGGAGAAGAAGCCAACAGGCCTCAGTTATTTGCTGGGTAATAACTGTTTTTTGTTTTGTTTTGTTTTGTTTTCCCCATGGAGGTGATGGGTTTGCCTCTCAGGTGTGTTCCTTACTCCTGTGTGACCTTAGGTAAACCACTAGACCTCTCTGAGTCTTCATGTGCTTGTCTGTAGGCAGAGTAGTCTTACCCATCTGGCAGAGCTGTCACGGAGACTGAGGTTTAGGAGTCACTGGAATGGTTTTTGACCTCCCCAAAGCCTCCCCAGCATGATCTTCATTGGAGTCGTAGGTGGGGATGTTTGCTAGGGGATCCCCAGTTGTTCCTCAGTTGCCTGAGAGGCAGCAGGACAGGACCTAGGCTTTGAAGCCTGAGAGATCTGGGTTTGGATTGTGGCCCACCTCTTATAGAGCCCTGAGCTTGATCAGAGGCACCTAATCTCTCCAAAACTCAATTTTTCTCATCTGAAAAATGGCTAGAATGAGCCCACCACACAGGGATGGACACTTAGATGGATCGATGTGCCTACTGCCTAAGAAGGGTTGAGAAATACTGGACTCCCCCATGCCTCTCTGGGGGCACACCTTCCCTCTCTCTACACATCCTCCTTGAGTAACCCAGAGGCCCCCAGTTCATCTGGTGGGTTTTTGAAGGATGCTCAGAACCCGCTCCCCGACCCAAAGATTCTGGGAGAAAGACCCTGGTGGAACAATCCCACGTGATGATTAAGCTTTCTTTGCTCCAAATGCTATTAATGCTCATAAAATTATCCACAGTTTTCTGAGGCCCAGGCCCAGGGTTTGCCTCAATGGGACAATAAAAGCTCATGCAGAAACGATTTGGAACAGGGAAAGAACCGCCAAGCAGGGATGGAGCTAAACGAGCGGCAGCCTGCTCTCATTAACTCAGGCCGTTCACATTTGTTACCAGGGATTTCTTTTTAATTAAAAAACAACCAAGTTATTAAAAAATAAGCTTGTGAGGGGCTGGCCCAGCAGCAGCCTGAGCCAGCAGGAGTGAGCATTCCTTGCAACGGGAATGAGCCCAGGACTCAGCCTGGGAAGGTGAGGGGGCTTCTGAGTGAATCTTCCTCCGTGCCCTCTGGAGGAGTCTGGCCTGTGCCTGGGAACACAGAGGCTCCTCTGAGCCCCTTCCCTGCCCCGGACCTTGGGAGTGTTGCATTCCGCTCTGCACACTGGACTGTGCTTGGCAGGTGGGTGCCTGGTGACTGGCAGAGATGTGGGCACACAGCGAGTTAGCACTGAGTGTCCAGCTTCCTGGGCAGAAGGGCCTGCCTCTGGGCTGGGCTGTAATTAGGGTTGGGGGGAAGTGGATTCCTTGAAGATGGGGTCGGGTTTTTGTCTTAAGAGGCCACTTCTTGTTACATAGCCATTCAGAATTGGGGTTTGGGTTTGGACAGACCTGAGCCCAAGATCCTGCCTAGATTCTTAGCGGTGTGATTTCAGACCCCAAGGTCCCTGAACTTCTGCCTGCTCTCTACAGTGAGGATGACCTCTAGTCTTCCTAAAAACCCTGTCACTGGGCAAGGCAGGGCAACCGATAGGCCGTCAAAGAACTGTGGAGAATATGGAGGCGTGAATAGCTGTGTACCATATTTCCGTGGTGTAACGCAATTTGGGAAAAAAAGCAGATTGAGTTTTGGTAATAACAAGAGCAGATGGGGTTTGGTGAACACCTGCTCCATGACCTACGATGTCTGTGCCGCTTACCTGGCCTGCTGAGCAGCACAGCCCCGGCACACGTCCGTGACCCTTGTCCAGTGAGTGTTCGGTGACCAGCGCGATGGTCATAGACTATAGGATCCCAGAGGCAGGAGCTTGTCCGCCTGGCTCGCCAGGGTTTCCTGCCCCTAGCGGTGTGAGGGTACATCGTAAAGACTCAGTGTTTGTGTAACGGTCATTCAGCCATGGGAGCTCAGCATCCACATCTGAGTGTTGGGGATTTTGCTCCCAATCCTGCTGGTGATTTTGGAAATTAAATAAGGGATCTTGGTGCCTTGAATGCAGCAGGGGTTCAGTGAACGTGGGCTCAAGGCTGCTGTGTCCCACGCTGTGCCCTAGTGACTGCCCTCTCCCTGTACCCCTCTGCAGGCTGTCCCCACTCACGTTCTTTCCTCTTCCTGTCTTTCTTTGCATAGTGAACGGGAGCTGCGGCCACTGCACCCCAGGCTCGGAGAAGAGCCTGCTGGACCTGGACCTTGTGGAGGGCCCCGGCCCCACCTGCCGCCAGGGCCTTTTTCTCCCTGCAGGCACCCCACCACCCCGGGGCCAGCCCCCAGCCTGCGAGAGGCTCCTGCATTTCCCCCACCCCAGCAGGTAAGTGCTCCATCCTTACCCATCAGCTGCCTTCTGTGGACACTTCCTGAAGGCCAAGGACCAAGGGCCTTGTCTGCCCTTGTGGGACCTAGTCTGTCTGGTTATGGGACACACGGCAAAACTGAGGCACACGAGGGCCAGGGACCAGCCAGAGGCCAGTAGCACAATGATGGAGGCCTGGTCTAAGACTTGAACCCCCCACGTTGCAGTGCCTCATGAGAGACAGAGATGGTTTCACTGAGGTGTGTTTCCCCCTTGCAGAAGCTGAGGAGGCTTTTCATAGAGAATCAGAAATTATGGAAGAGGAAGACTCAGGGGTGGGATGGAGAAGGAGCACCCAGCTCAGGGTTCATGCACATCGCAGTGTCAAGCCCTGGACAACTTGGAGCATGGCGAGGGAGGGGTTCCTCCGCCTGGGGCCATCTCCTGCCCTAGGAAGCCGTGGCTCTCAGAGCCCTGCCAGGGGACCGTCATCCAGTGCCAGTGCATTTCCGGTCATGTCCGCTTGTGGGCGGATGTTTGATCACATCGTGTATCAGGCTGGAATCTGCCTCCTGTGGCTCTCCCGGGGTCCCCGCTGTGCCTCTGTGCCCTCTGGTCTGCTGACAGGCAGAGGTCAGCCATGGGCAGTCCTCTGTGCCCCCCGCTCGGCCTGGGCCTGCACCCCAGCGCCTGGACATGCTGGCTGAGGCCTGCCTCACACATCAGAGACTCTAAAAACTGGCCTAGTGGCCTGTTAGCAGTTCATTCCTTTATCAGTCATTTATTAAGTGTCTGCTGTGTGCCAGGCACTGCGGGGTGCTGGAGATGTCTTGGCAAAGCAAGCAGAGAGCTCCCCAGTGGAGCTCACTTTGCAGTGAGAGCCTCAGGGGAGACGACTCCAGAACAGGATGCTGATTCTTCCCACACAGAGCCATTTTCCTTTGAGAATCTGGATGCCCTGTGGCCTTCAGGGATATCAGGGAGACTTCTGACCTATGGGAGTGTGTTAGTCTGCGCACACTGGCTTGACAAAATACCACAGCCCGGGGGGCTCAAACAGCAGAAATGTCTTTTCTCCCAGTTCTAGAGGCTGGAAGTCCGAGAGCATGGTGTCCCCAGGTTTGGTCTCTCCTCAGGCCTCCCTCCTTGGCCTACACGAGGCCGCCTTCCTGTGGTGTGCATGGCCTTTCTGCTGTTTGCATGCTCTTCATCTTAGAAGGACACCAGTTGTACTGGATGAGGGCCTCCCCCTCACAACCTCAATTAACCTTCCTTACTTCCCACAAGTCCCTGTCTCCAAAGACCATCATGCTACGGGTTAGGACTTCAACATACAAATTTTGGAGGGAGACGATTCAGTACGTAACAAAGAGCAAGCGTCTTTTAGACTTTGAGCTGTCCGTTGTTCAGTGATAGTCCAATGCATTTGTCTGCTTGATTATTCCCTGAGGCTCCCTGAGCAGCCTCTGGTTCCCCAAGGGACATTCTTTCTATCTCAGGGCAGAAGCAATGCTAACCTAGGGAAAGCTAAAGCAAGTGGGTTTAAAATATTTTTTATTTTATTTTTTCTTAATTTTAATTTTTTAATATAAGTTAAGTTTAGTTAACATATACTGTATTGTTAGTTTCAGAGGTAGAATTTAATGATTCATCAGTTGCAAGCAATATGCAGTGCTCATATTTTAAGTGCCCTCCTTAATCCCCATCACCCAGGTACTCTATCTCCCCCCCTCCCCTCCAGCAACCCTCAGTTTTTTTTCCTAGAGTTAAGAGTCTCTTATGGTTTGCTTCCCTCTCTGTTTTTATCTTATTTTATTTTCCCTTCTCTTCCCCTACATTCATTTCTTTTGTTTCTTAAATGCCACATATGAGTTAAATCATACGGTATTTATCTTTCTCTGGTTAACTTATTTCGCTTAGCATAACACCCTCTAGTTCTATCCACATCATTGCTAATGGCAAGATTTCATTTTTTGGATGGCTGAGTAATATTCCATTGTATATATAGACCACATCTTCTTTATGCATTTGTCTGTTGATGGATATCTGGGCACTTTCCACACTTTGGCTATTGTGGTTATTGCTGCTGTAAACATTGGGGTGCACATGCCCTTCGGATCATTACATTTGTGTCCTTCGGATAAATACCTAAGTAGTGCGATCGCTGGGTCATAGGGTAGCTCTGTTTTTCTTTTTTTGTACAGATGATCCAAAATGTTTGTCATTTTGAGTGTCATTTTGACAATTTAGAGCCTAAGAGAGCCTGTACCTAGAACCTGTACCTAGAACCCCACACCAGGATCATTCTGATCTGTGGCCATTTCTCCTGCTGATCAGGCACTGTCACACACCCTCATTCTCCTAAAGCAAAACAGGGCTCCACCCCTGACCCATACCCGTCAGACCCTGTCCCTTCTCATCTCCTTGCTGCCTCCCCTCTCCTGATATCTAGACCCCTGATCCACAGCCTGGGTTTCTGGAGGCCTCTGTGCCTCCCGCCCAGCTTTCTAATACGAATAAAAATTGCTCCCACTTTGCAAAGACTTGCTACTTGTGCCCATCTCTCATTTAATCATCACCCCTAATAAGCGACAATCCTGGAGTGCTTGCTCTGTGCCACACAGGAGGCCAAGCACTCTTCATGTAATTACCTTACTCAACTCCCATCTGCCAGAGGGTGGGGAGACTGAGGCAGAGGGGCCACAAACCTAGCCCGACGTCACCCAGCAAATGGCAAGAGTTTCAAGTAACTTCAGCAATACCCTGATTTTGTCATTTCTGTGCTAAAAATGACTACCCACCACCATTGTGGTCAGTAGAATGTATTATTACATGTGGTTTGAGGCCTAGCTCCATTACTGACTTTCTGAGTGACCCTGGGCAAAATGCTGACCCTTTCTAGGCCTCATCTCCTTAATTGTAAGATGAGGATAGAAACAGAGTGCACAGGCCCCCAGTAGTATGGGAAGGCAGTCTGTGATCTGGCTGGCCTCCTTGACTTTGGGCCCAGTGGGCCTCACATGTTCACATCTTCGGGCCTTAGCCTACAGAACCCCCTCACCACTTTGGTCCCTTACGTTTGTCAGAACTCTGTCCACCCCTCAGCAGGGTTGAAGTGTTCCCGTGAGAGCTGGTCCTCCATTTCCCCCATGAGAAGGGAAATCTCTCAAGGGCAGGGACCTGGTTTGCGAACCGTCTCGTGTCCCCAACATCACCCAGCACAGAGGGCAAAGCCTGCAGAGGGACCTTTCTGGCCCTCCGCCCAGGCCACAGCCCCTGAACCAGTGGGTGCACAGACCCCATGAGATCCGAAGTCACCCTCCCATCCCCTTGAGCCTCTGTTGGAGGAACACTAGTTTTCCCAAGTTCAGCAGCTCCCTTCAGGGTCTGGGATGACAGACAGAAGAACATCGGAGTCCTTGATACTCAGAATGTTGAGGCTGCCAGGAAACCCAACGGTCATCAAGTTCCATCATTTTGCAGGGGAGGAAGCTGGGGCCCCTGGCAGGACAGTGCTGTGGGAAAATCGCGCACTGCTGATTCAGACCCATCGAATTTCACATTCCTACTCTAACGCGGCCTGCCTCTGAGGGGTTGGCCAAGCGGCTTCAGTTTTCCTAAGTGTATAAACCAGATGGTGGGCTCTCCCCTGAAGAATTTGGTTATGCATTCAGCAGATAGCATGCATCGCTGTGCTGTGGTGGCGCTGCGTGGGACGGCCCTCGGGAAAGCGCCCAGCATGTGGGGCTGCTCCGCGCTAGACTGCTCTGTCCAGGGACCCTCGCCCACAGTGTCCAGACGTGTGACGGGAGTCACCTGGGGAGCCCAGGGCTCAGCCGCAGGGCAGGGCAGGAACCACTGCTGGCCTGCCAGGGACAGAGGGATGGAGAGGGTAGGCAGGGGGGCTGCCTCAGCTTACCGAAGCCTGAGTTGCCCTCTCCCCCCAACCCCTGCTGCCATAGGAGGTTTCATTGTTGTATTCGGGTAATTCAGTCACAAGTGCAATGGCTGTTCTCTGTTGCTGTGGCTCAGCCTAATGCTCCCTCTGCCAGGCCCAGGATGATGACCACACAAGGAACAGCTGTGCTTTTAGTTATTTATCTTTTAAGCTTCACCGAAGTCAAGCTTCCTATCAGATCCTTCCTATCAGATCCTTCCTATCAGATCTTCCTATCACGTCCTTAAGCTCCTCAGAGCTTTCTGGTGGCAGCGATGGCCCAGCGTCCCCAGGCCCAGGGAAGGGGGCTGTGCTTTAGCTGTCCACCCTGGAGTCCACACTCCTTCTGCTTCCTCCCAGGGGCCACGCTCTGGGAAGGGAAGAGAGGCCTTTGCTGGCTGAGGCAGAGAATTGGTCAAGTGCAGCTGAGAAACGGGAGGGCCCTTTTCACAAGCCTTTATCTGGGAAGCACTTCCCATCTCCCCTGGAGAAATACACAGCCCCAGGAGAAGGGGAGCCTGGCTCCCGGCCTAAACCCTGTCACCAGCTTGCTGCTTGGAACTGTGGGCAAACCTTGTGCCCTCTTGGCTCCTTTCCTGTCTCTGCAGTCATGGGGTTGGAGCCCATGCTCTCTGAGGGCCACTGGGTTCTCCCTAACCCTTCCTTCCTCTCTCCATCCCTCCTTCTCCCTCCAGCTCCAGGGAGCCAGAGAGGGAGGCTGGGCTGCAGGGACAGGAAAGTGGGGACAGGTGATGATCCCACAGCCCCTCTGCAGAGAGTTCCAGAACACTGGCGGTGATCTGGCAGTAATGAAAGCAGCATCCACCCTGCCATCATCTCTCCAGAGAGTTGTCACAGCATCTGCCATCCCTCTTGATCCTGGCAGCCACCCTCTGAGGCAGTGAAGGCTAGTCCTCGTTTCACAGGGGAGGACACTGAGGTGCAGACAGGCCCAAGAACATAAGGGGTGTCCTCTTCAGGCTTTGAACACGTAAGCAGTCTTCCTGTTCTTCCCAGCCAGCCAAGGGACTACTTTGTCCTTCTGTTGGCATCACCTGCCTGGTGGCCAGAGGCCCTGATGTGTCTTCCTGCATTTACGTGTCCTTATGTAGGGAGGGCCTTCTCTCAGAACACATGTAGCACATGGGTGATGAAGACAGCATCGCACCATCGTCACTGTCCAGTGATGATGAATCGTTCAGTGTCGGGATGAGAAGTGAGACCCAGAGTGCCTTGCCCAGCTTGGTGCAGCAGGGAGTGGCTGAACCTGGCCTCAGACCCCAGTCCCCGGCCTCGCTGGTGTGGCCCTCCCAGCTCCCAGCCTCCCCCAGAGTTGTGTTTTGTGCAGTCACAGTGTCTAGGCTTGAAATCACCCCCACCAGGCTTTTCCTCAGTCATTCTTGGGATCCTTCTCGTCACCATGACTTGTGTTTCAGACCCCAGCCCACTGACATTCACTGTGGAAAAGAAACATTACTTGGGGCAAAATGTCATAGAATTAACATTTCTAGAAATTAAGAAAGACTATAAAAGTTCAGATAAAAGGGACAAGTAGGTAGAATTAAAAAAAAAAACTGGTCCTGGATGTCCCTCCAAATGCCAGAACTCACTAGAAGGTCATGGAGAAGTCAGGACAGACCCTAAGGAGGCCTCAGGGCAGGATGGCATCCGGGACTGGAGAGGGAAGGATGGATTTGGTAAAAGGATGACACGGGGCTCTTTCCTGGCATCCTCTTCAGACCCCCTGCCTTTCTTGAACCTCTCCCCAGCCCCATCCTCTCCCCCCCCCGGTGTCCCCCATATTCTTCCCTGCTCACTAGACCTCCAGTCTCTGGCTTCTCCCTCCCTCTGTTTCTAGCCCTCCGTCTCCACCCCTGCTCTGGGCTTCCCATCCCTTGGTCCCAGGTTCCCTGTCATTTCCCCCACCCTAGGGCCTCCCCACTGTGGAGTGGCTCCCCCCCATGGCCTCTCTGCTCCCTGTTTTCCAGGTCGCCCAGACCTCAGGCCACGTATGTGAATGGTGGCCTTCCACAGCACATCAAGCAGGAGTCCCTGCCCGACTACCAGGCCATGACAGAAGCTCGCGCACCACTGTCCGCTCACTGCCGGGCCCCGCCAGCCACTGGCCTGCACACAGACCTGGACCTGCCGGGCCGGGGCCTCGCTAACCCTGCGCCTTCCTGCTACCTTCTGGGCAGCGAACCCAGCTCCGGCCTGGGCCCCCCACCTGAGGCCCACCTCCCTGAGGGCAGCATAAAGCGGTGCTGCCTCCTGGGCCTGCCCCCCACCTCCCCGGCCTCTTCCTCACCCTGCGCCTCGTCCGAGGTCACCTCCATCATCCGCTCTTCCCAGACATCTCTGGTCACCTGCGTCAACGGACTCCGGAGCCCCCCGCTGCCGGGAGACCTGGGGGGGCCTCCCAAGCGGGCCCGACCTGGCCCGGTGACGGTGGAGAGCCACGAGGGCAGTGTGCAGCTTGAAGCCTGCCGGAAGGCGGCCTTCCTGAAGCAGGAGCCTGCGGACGAGTTCTCGGATCTCTTTGGGCCGCTTCCCCAGCAGGGCCTGCCGCCCCCGTACCCTGCGTCTCAGTTACCGCCAGGCTCAGGCCTCGGAGGGCTGGGGCTGGTGGGCAGGGGGATGGCCGGCCAGCAGGCGTGCCGGTGGGTGGACTGCTGTGCGGCCTACGAGCAGCAGGAGGAGCTGGTGCGGCACATCGAGAAGAGCCACATTGACCAGCGCAAGGGCGAGGACTTCACCTGCTTCTGGGCGGGCTGTGTGCGCCGCTACAAGCCCTTCAACGCCCGCTACAAGCTGCTCATCCACATGAGGGTGCACTCGGGGGAGAAGCCCAACAAGTGCATGGTGAGTTCCCACGGCTGCCGGCCAGCCCCGACCCCGCCCTGCAGAGCAGCCTCCACTTGGCCCTAGGGATGGCCTACCCGGGGGGCTTCAGGCCAGGGCTGGGGTCTGCCTGCGATGTCCTGCGGTGGTCAAGGGGAAGACCGATGCTGGTGATGGGACCACTGGTCAAGATAGCCCTCCCGGCTGTTTCCGTTCCTCTGCTCACCATGTGGCCTACTCCCCTCCCCCGTCCCCGCGGCATACCACGTGATCAAACACACTTGTTCACGGGGCGACAACATGCACTCTGAGGTCAGAGCAGGCCTGGGCAGCCTTGCCTGTTGTATGCAGATGCTCACTGTCTCACCCACCAGTGGTCAGGTGAGTCATGGGACATCTGCTTTCCTTTAGCACTGGGCCCTTGTCAGGCAGCATTCCCCGGGGTGCTCTCTGGACCTTGGAGCAGCCCCCAGGCATGGCTTCCTCCAAGGAGTGCCCCGTCCTCACAGGTACCCAGCTTGGGAGCCATGGGTCCCTTGGGCAGGTTTGGGCTAAGGCCAGGTTAACCTGTAAGGGTCTAGCAGTGCCCAAGCTGGGTTTGAGCCTGAGGTTTCCAGGAACACGCGCGCATGTGCGCGCTCACACACACACACACACGCACGCACGCTGTGGACACCTAGTTTCCAGCTCCTCTGACTGGTCATTTCTGCATTGTGCTTTTGGGGTGGTGGAAATCCATATCAGAGTCTTTGTCCCTGATATCCTCAGACGAGCTGCTGCACCCACCCCCAAGGCCCAGCTCTACCCCCGGAGAGGCACCTGCCCATGAATGGAAGGGCCGGAGGAGCCGCCCAGGCTTACACGGCCCAGCTCCAGCTTCTCAGCCACTGGGGCATTGGGGAAGCAGGGGAGGAATCGGCGTGTCTAGTCTAGTCTACAAGGCTGGGGTCCAGCCAACACTGAGTTCTCCCACACTCACATGTTGTCCCTGATGCTGGACCCTGCTTCCTGAAGTCTTCATTCTGGGAACGGGTGCACTTCTGTCCCCACTCCAGGCCCAGGGCAGTATCTGTAGCGGCGAGGGGGGAGGCAGGAACCTTCAGCGGCTGGCAGCATAAACTCCGCCCTCCCAGAACGAGGTGGTCACCCTTGCGGTCCCATCTGCTTGTGGAACTGGGGTCTGGGCAGGCAACCGGGCTGGATCTTGAGGAAGAGTCACAAGTGGGGGGTCGTGAACAGCCTCTGCAAAAGGACAGGAATAGGAGGGAGCCTGTGGTTGGTGTGTTGATTTTGTGGGGAGAGGCTGAACTGGGAAGGCTGAGAATTTGACTTTATCATGTGTCTTGGGGTTGAAAGCATGCTGGAAGGAGGTGGTGACCGGGCCGGTCCTGGGGATGCCCCGTTTGTCTGGGGCATTGTGACATGTGGCATGCTGAAAGACATGCCCTTGCCTGGAAGATGCCCAGCAGACTTCCAGAAGACAGAGGGCCCCCTCTCCCCCTGAGACCCCAGAGCGGACAGTTGTCAAGCCACAGTCCTTCATGTCTCCTTTCCCATGGGGGATCCCACTGGTGTCCGCAGGGGGCTGGTGTGGAGGTCCAAGCTCTGGTACCGTGTGGTCAGTGGTCTTCGATCTCCAGGGCCTCCTGTGTGGAATTACAGCTTGCAATAGTGCCCATGTGGACTGCAGGGACTTTGGTGATAATCTAGCCTTCTTTGCCTGTTTTCTGGGAAACAGAGGCCTGGTGAGCAGGTCAGAGAGGCCCAGTCTACCCAGCGCAGTCTGGGGATCTCTCTCTATGGTTCCTTCTTCTGGGCTTGCCGGGATCTCACCTGATTCAGCAGACTCCACAGAACATTGGCTTACACCTGGTTTGTGCCTGGCTCTGGGGACACAGACCTGGACTTTCCAAGGTCTTCGCTGGCAGGCACCCATGGTCAGCGAGGGGTGAGACGTGGGTGTGGGCAGGTTCTGCCTGGAGTTTGTATAGGTCCAGGGACAGGAGGCCCAGAAGGGCTTCAATGAGGAGGTGATGTTCAAGCCATGTCTGTATTTACCCACAGTTGCATTTAATCTTTATAGAAGTCCTGTAAAACCAAGGTTTTACAGATGAAGAAACAAGGGTTCAGTGGAGTCCAGCCAACCTTCTATGTGCTACTATGAGAACACTTTATCTTGTCTCCCAAGGGGTTCAGGCTTATGGTGATAAGAGTAGCAGGCAGCTTCTCATTGTTGACTATGTGTAGTAGCCATTCTTTCACGGGCATGTGGGGGAGAGAGAATATTAAGCAGGTTCTATGCCCAGCCTGGAGTCCGATGTGGGGCTTGATCACACCATCCCGAGATCATGACCTGAACCAAAAGCAAGAGTTGGATGCTTAACTGACTGAGCCCACCCAGGTGCCCCAGGAACCATTCATTCTAAGCGGTAACTCCGTGTGGTCCTCGTAACAACTCTACGGGGTAGATACTATCAACCCCATTTTACAGATGAGGAAACTGAGACTCAGATTGCATAATTTGCCCCAGGTCACATAGCTAGTGAGGGGCAAAGAATAACAACAATAGTAATAGAGGCTAATAATCATCATAGTAATAATAGGAACAGCAATGGAAGTAACTTGCCTGAGGTCGCCTAGCTAGGAACCATTAGAGTGAAATATGAGCCCACATCTTCCTAAACTGTGATGCTTTTGTTTGCAGAGATGGTCCCGTTAACACTGTTCTCTGGGTCCTGGGCCCAGCCCCAAGGGTGCCGTCATCTGGAGTAGGGGCAGAGACCTCCTCTGAGCTCCTCCCCGCCCCCCATGGGGGCGCGCCCCCTTCCTGCCCTGCTGGCTCAGTGGGTGACCCCAGGGAAGGGGCAGGCCCCAGTCCGCACCCAAATAAATAGAATCTCCCTTCCCTGTAAAATTATTAATTTCTCATGACAGGCCTTTGCTACCATGTGCTGTAATAGACAAAGGAATTTTGGACCCGGATCCTCTGGAGAACAGGAAATAGATGAGACACTTTGATTGAAGAGTAAATGGCTCACTAAAATAGCAGTTAATCCTTTTATTATCTTTCCAGCAGCCGTGTGCACGGTTCTTTCATGAGGTAAGCCTTCCCCGCCCCGTCCAACTGTAACACTCCAGCCCGGCAGCTGGTTTCCATTTAGCCCACCGAGCCTACGCTCACGCACCAGGCGGCCCGGGGAGGCACGGCGAGGAGCCGGCCGCCCCCTGCCCAAGTTCTCCGTGCTTGGGGCGGCCCGGGATCGGGCCTCGGCTCGCGGGGGCCCCCGGGCTAGACCGCGCCGTCCGGCCCCCCGCTCTGCCCTCGCCGCGGCCCGTCCACGCCATCCAGAGGAAGCTCCCTAATCTCTTTGCAATATCCTGTTATGTTTCTTATGTTGTCCGAGTTGTCTTAGCCTTATTAAATGTGGGGTTTCATCTGCATTAGGGTAGCGAGGATACGTCCAAGCCAAATACCGCCACGACGCCTCCAAGACGTTAACTTTGAAAAGATTAATTTCTTGCTTTCTTAGGTTGGCTCTCCCAGACGGTTGGAATTCTGATTGTCTGAGACTGCAGAAATTAGCAGGCTGGGTAGTTTGCTTTTCTGTACATCAAGAAAAAGAGAGGCAGGGTGAAAAAGGAAAACCTTTCATAACCTTGGGTTTTAGAAAACAACAGTAATAACAGCGACGGTCCCTGCCTTTGTGAAGAGCTTTCCTGAAACTGGGAGCGCAGGGTGGGAAGTGTGTGTGTAGACAGGTGATGAAAAGCCCAGGCCTGGAGTCACACCGACCCCGGTCTCCACCTGGGCCTGCCATCTAGCAGCTGTGTGACCTCAGACAGGTGACTTAGCCTTTCTGAACCATAGCACACTCGGTTATAAAGTGGGACGATGATAGTACCCACCTTTTAAGGGTTGCATCATTAGGGCTTATGTATTTTATTTTACTTATTTTTTTTAAGATTTTATTTATTGGACAGAGAGAGAGATGGCGAAAGAGAGAACACAAGCAGGGGCAGAGGGAAAGGGAGAAGCAGGCTTCCGCTGAGCAGGGAGCCCAATGTGGGGCTGGGTCCCAGGACCCTGGGATCATGACCTGAGCCAAAGGCAGACACTTAATGACCGAGACACCCAGGCGCCCCAACATTAGGGTTTAAAGAGATAACTTAGGGTGGTGCATCCCCTATCAGCTCTGTCACATCAGCTGGTTGTTGAGGGGGGCACAGTTGTCACTCACCTTGCCATTGACCTTGTCAGTCGTCTGTCAGCAGTGCAGACAACCAGCTCTGTGCCAGACCATGTCTGCTCAGGGTGACTGGAGCTAGAAGGGGGAACTAGGGCAGAGGCCTAGGGAGGAGGCTATGGTCCTTGCCCTCACAGGCCTGGGAACCTTGAGGCAGGGCTTACATCCTGCCTGCCTTCCTCTGGTAGCTTCACTTGCACTGACTACCCCATCCTTCATGTTCCTCTTCCCTGTTTGCCAGTCTGTCCCCAGGGCCATGGACAGGGAAATATAGCCCATCGAAAGCTGAGCATAACTGATTGGCCATAATCAGCCAAGGAACTCAGAACACCAGCCACTTGGCTGGGCCTCCCCAGCTCCCAGCGGGCCAGCCCAGGCCAAATCTGCTCTCATCTTCTATAATCCTGGGCTTCTGGCTCTCTGTTTATGCTTTATCTTGGTCCCCCAACTCTTGAGAAATGAATAGCACTGGGTGCTGGGAAGGGTGGGGGAGGCAGAAGGTGCTCCTCTTTGTTGAGACTCAGGAGTCTAATACCTGGCCCAGTGCCAGCCATGTCCCAGTCCATCTTCAAAAACACTCTGGTCAAAACTCTGAGGCCCGGAGAGGCCAGATCAGATCCCAAGGTCATGCAGTCTGCCAAGTAGCAGGGCACAGCTACCCATCAGATTTGCACACCTGTTCTGCCAGACTGTCAGAGAGAAGCTTGACTGGGGGTCTGAGATCCTATCTTATGGAAAGTCCTCAGGGATAAGAGCCCAGATTTAGTCTGAGGCATG